CTATCATTTTTGACTAGGCTTTGCTCCATCGAAATGCGAAGTAGTTCTCCAAGATTGGCAGGGACCCATCCCTTCGCTAACGCTTTGTGATGATCTGCAAGAAGTCGGTCAGAGATTCAACTACCTGGGCAGCTATATTAGCGCCCGTGGGATTAAAGTTGAGGTTACGAACCGTATAGCAAAAGCTTGAGGCGCTTTTGTCAATCTCCGCCACCTGTGGTGAAGACTCGCCATTACCCTCGCCCTAAAGGGCAGAGTTTATAACACAGCCGTCCGTTCAACCTTCCTGTACGGTTGTGTAACCTGGCCCATCAGGTCGAGGGACATAAAGAGGCTCGTACTATCCGGTCATCGCTGCCTTCGCAGCTTAGTTCATCTCTGATGGGAGCACCGCGTGAGTATTGAATGTGTTCGGCGTCGCGTATTAGGTGCAGGAAGGCAAGTGAACCGCTCAGCACCATTATATCAGGCACCAGGCTCCGATGACTGGGCCACGTGTTGCGCATGCCAGTACACTGACTCCCGCGAAGTGCGTTGTTTGCACGGCCGTGGTCTGGTTGGAAGAGGAGGATGGGAGGCCAAGCGATGACTTGGTCGAGAGAAATGAAAACCCTCACTTCGTAGTTGGCGTTGGTTGGTGCATCCCGACTACCTGGCTGGGGTCTTAAGGACGATGAACACGTTTGGTTGGACACACTTGCAGATATAGCTCGGAGCCGGCCCCAATGGCGTTTGTGTTGTGAGTTCCTTTGTCCATCCCCCTCCTTCTTAGCATCCCCCTCCATTCACGATCTCACTCGTTAGGCATAATATAACTTTTTGCGGCACGATAGCTGGCTGTTAGCTCTCCGGAACGATGTCCATCCGTTACTGGGGACTCAGCCGGCGTGCCACTGTATTTTCCCTTGTCTTTTGTGTTGCGGCACAATAGCTTTGTTTTCCACCTGCAGCTAGCGTGCATAATGAATGAATGAATGGATTCCTTGGAAATTTTTGTTATGGTTTAGTCGGATGTAAGCTTTTAAGAAGCTTCAAGTGTTTTCTTCAACTTTTGAGCAGATTTCTTTCATGTATTGCTTAAAAGAATCTCGTTGAACGGTACAATGCTCTTCGACACTAGGTTGGTAAAGTGCACAAACTCGCTCCAGCTCTGTTATTCGGGACTGAACAGCTTCCATCAGATTGTAAGCATGTCGTTTAAAGGGACTTTGCAGTCGGACGCACATGACATTGCCTAAGAGATTTCCAGTAGGATCTGGGATATTGATCGCGTTGCACACTCTTGTATAAATCTAATTTCCATCTTTGCTTCTGCAAGCCTAGCGTTAAACTTCGAGCATTTGTTGAGGTTAGCAAACGCTGCGGACTACCTGCTCTTTTTCAACTCGTTGATAATGTCTATACGGATGTAGTGATTGCTATCATCGAACCCGGACCATTGAGATTTTATCTGAAACATCTTCACTGCCACCCTTAAACGGTGCGGTTTCAAGGTAGTCCAGCCAGTAGCCCGAAAAAGATTGTACTTTGATCGCGTTTCGGAGCTCAGACATCCAATCTGAAGTGCTGGGACCTATAACTAAGCTTATGTCTATCTTCACACGGTCCCTTTGAAAATCCGCGTCACAAGCATTTTTTGAAGAATTTTGGCAAGTCGGACAAACATAGGCAATACGTATCTGATATTTTAGATATTGAATTTGTTCTGGTTGATAACTAGATATGATTAGTAATAATATATGAAGGTATGCGTTAAAGGCATCGTGATGCAATCGGCACAGTCCTTTAAACTGATGACGGAGCTACTGGATCGTTAGCTTTGTTTACCTTTAATCTTTGCACATCTCTGTGGACATCACATCGATCAAACAGGATAGTTGGTTTTGAGCTCGTAAAGGAGGGTAGGTAGGATGTACTTAATGAACCGGGGCTGAGCTCAACATTGAGTTTGTCCACCTCTGCTCTACCTCCTCTCTATCTGCATCGCTTTTACTGTATAGTTGCTTCAGAAGCCTTTCCATAGATCGCGACTGACTAAAATCGCTTCGATGTACTAGCCGTTACTCTCGTTATTTCGGCTTTTGTTGGTGAAGTCAAACTTATCTAACTGTAAGCTCGTTCTTTTATTCAAATTTTTAAGCAGCAGTGAGGAAAATCAGCTTGCGCGTAAATTGTTTATTTCGGTTGAACCGCACGAGTCGTAATTGAAAGTAATGCGACTTGTGGTGTACTAACATTAAACAAAAAAGGCATTAGCAGCACCCCGGTACGCAGTACCGACGCTTCGCTGCATCACAACCACCACAGGTTGCACTTGGGCTAAGGACACTGCGAAGGTCGTGCTATCCCTACGAATGCTGGAACCCGTGCAGTCAGCTTACAAGGCAAGTTTGTTACCTCGGGCCGGCACGTTACGTCACCAAAAATTGAAAAATCCGTTTTGAAAAGCATCAGTTCCCATCTGGTGCTACTCTTCGTAGAGCAGTTACGCCGTTTAGTGGTTTTGTAGGGTCGTTTATTCAGTACGACGCAACTGGCTATACTGGAAATGGTGAGACATAATTTTAGGCCGCAGTGATCACGATTGCTCAGCTGAGGACCTTTTTGTTGTGGCAAACAACTACATTTTGTTTTTACAGACAGCATTCAGCTGCGTGTTTTTTCTGTAGAGGCAGCCACTATTTTTACCAGACCGATTCATGGATGTCATATCGCTTTTATTGCAGCCACTAGCCACGATGCAAATCGAACGTTTTACTTTCAGCTGTAATGTCGAAGTAACTTGGTTCTCAATAGCTCCAACCCCGGCTCGGATGTGTCAGTTGTTATCTAAACTCGACGACGACCGATTGAGAGTGACTTAGGAAATTTGGCTTGTATTCGTTAAGGTGGCAGCTTATAGAGTTTGCTGGGTATATGAACACATTAATTGAACCGCATCAACCTTCGTGCGTAAGTGATGACGCCTCCGTCCCGCTACTGGGGCTTCACTGGGCTGTCAAATCTAATAGTGAGGTGGCCCTCTAGTTGAGTAGCTCCACCTTCCGCATCAGGACGCAACAAAATATCTTGTGTTATCGTGCTAATAGTATTTACATAGTCACTGCACAGTCGTCATGAGGTCGAAAGTTGTACAAAGAAGCGATCTCACATCACTGGATAGTATCCACTGAACTTATGCCTTGTGGACAGAGCAACGGCTGAGGTCGCGATGAGGTCAGGATGACAGCTTGTTACCAATACGTTCCCTATTAACACGATGTCTTATTGACTTTGTGGTCTTCTTTGAAACGTATATTCCGCGCATTATCACGTAACTTCGCTATAAGTTTGATGGGGTAGGACCACGTGATTGATCCTGACATCATCATCATCATCATCATCATACACGTTAGCTAGAGGTGGGAAACACCTCAGCTACTGTGCCGCAATACAAAGAAAAAAGGAGAGAAAGAAAAAAAACAACTGGTGAGAGCTGGCTGAGCTACCGGTAACGGATAGGCATCGTTCCGGTAAGCTACCAGCCGGCTGCTGTGCACCCAAAAAAATTATTATGCAAAATTATATAAGGCTAAGTAATGGGTTGGAAGGGGAGGCTAAGAGGGATGGGATGGGACAAAGAAACTCACAGCAGGAACGCCACTGAGGTCGGCTCCTACCCATATCAGCAAGTGTGTCCAACCAAACGTGTTCATCGTCTTTCGGACCCCAACCAGGGAGCCGAGACGCTCCAACCGAGGCCAGCTCAGAAGTGAGGGTCTTCATTCCTCTGGACCAAGTCATCGCTTGGCCACCCCTCCTCTTCTTCCATCCACCCCCGGCGCGCAAACAACACACCTCGCGGAAGTCGGTGGGCTGGCATGCGTAACACGTGGCCGAGCCATCGGAGCCTGATGCGTGAAATAACGGTGCTGAGCGGTTCAGTTCCTTTTCCTGTGCCATAAACAAGGCGTCGAACACGCTCGTTACTCACGCGGTGTTCCCACCAAACGTGAGCTAAACTACGAAGGCACCGGTGGTCGAACGTAACTAGCCTCTTCAGGTCCGCTGCTTTAAGCGGCCAGGTTTCACAACCGTACAATAGGGTCGAACGTACTGCTGCATTGTACACTCTACCCTTCAGGACAAGAGTGATGTCGCGCCGGCGCCATAAGTGGCGAAGGTTAGCAAAAGCGCCCCGAGCTTTTGCTATACGATTCGTGATTTCATCTTCAATCCCGCAGGCGCTGATATAACTTCCCAGGTAGTTGAATTTTTGAACGACTTCTAGCTGATCCCCACTAAGGGCCAGCGTAGGAGGCGGTCCAGACCAATCTTGGAGGAACGCTTTGCACTTCGAGGGTGCGAAGCAAAGCCCGAAGTGACGGACAGCTAGTGCTAATCTGTCCAGTGCCGCTTGGCACGTTTGTGAGCTGTCACAGATGAGGGCAATATCATCAGCATACTCTAAATCAAGAAGTCGTTCTCCTGGGAGTAGCTCCACACCTTCCAAGTCGTGTCCTGTGAACGCGATTTCCATGACTTCGTCAATAGCGAAGTTGAAGAGGAAAGGTGACAGCGGGCATCCTTGTCTCACGCCGCTGGAGATATTAAAGGGCGACGACAACTTGCCGTAAGCCCTCACTCTGCCCGAGCTACGAGCGTATAATGCTCGGATAATATTCACATATTTCTCAGGTACACCTTTCCTGAGTAGACAGTCCCAAAGTGCATGTCTATCCACCGAATCGAATGCACCTTTGATATCGAGGAACACGACAACGGTGGGCCGCCAATATATGTGACGGATTGATCCTGACAACAGTGATACCAAACCAAATGCCCACATACATTTTGAAACCCACAGCAGGTAGCGCAGCACAGTATTTGAATGAGAACATCAATGATAAATTTTAACACCCCACCTGTGTTTGTTGTTCCCTACTTGTTTTTGGTTGCTGTTTCATTTTATCGCTGATTTCAAACCGGTAATTCTCCTCCATTTATTTCCCTCCATCAAGATGGGTTGCGGTTGTCTTCTTCCTGGATCACTGTCCTATTTAACTTGCACCCTCGCTGCACTACATGAGCGAACGTATCCGATCCCAAGTCTCGGTAATCCGAAAGAAGTGTGGTCCACAGTGAAGCGCTTCTGTCGTGGGCTTCGCACCACTGGTTCTGCGCTTCTTCTAGCGCACTGTGTAATGGGCTCGCTGTTAGCTGGATGTATGATCAAAGCGAACCAGAAGGCATTGAAAGAAGAGAAACAGTTGCTCAGCAATTTTGGAGAACTATCTGCTCCTAATGAGTGAAACGACTTTACTGCGCTTTTACTGCTTCTGCTCCCTATGTATTATATTCAGTTCTTTTTTGTGCACAAATATAGCGTTTCCTTTTGGCTTATCTCAAAATGCATTGCTTGCATTACGTTTGCTTTGGATGCAATCTTTCATTTTGCTGAATCCATCGTAGATTTCCTCTATATGAAATAATGAATCATTGTTGACGTGTGGTCCTTTTGTCTGCGACGCACGCCAACTGGTGGTTAGACTGCTGAATACAACACCACGCGCATCGGTTGTTTGCTTTGGGCCTACGTCCATACATTTCCTCTTACTAACCCCCAGAATCACACTTCACAGCTCATTGTGATTGAATCTCAAGCTCATTTTGACGTGTGTCGTACAAGGTGTCCGCTCTATCGGACTAGGCCGATTTTTTTGAGGTGCTGTGGCTGTATCTATCATGTTATCTGTTGTAATCGCATCTGCTTACGTACTCATGCTTATCCGGTACAAAATCTGTCGGCCCTAGCCTTGTAGTCTGTCGGCGCGGCTTCGTAGCTGGGTGCGGGCACGACGACCCTCGCAATATCCTAGCCCATGTGCGACCAATGGGGGTTGTGCGGCAGCGAACCATCTGTACTGCGCACCGACGTGCTGCCTATCATGTGTCACTGGCGATTCTGGTCGGCTCCCCCACTTTGACGGGTACTGGTGGCTGCAGTTAGTTTGGTAAGATGGCACTGGTCCTGACTGTGCATCAAACCTCAGAATCACTATAGCGACGTGCCGTGCACTTTTCACTTATCTAGGACTGGTTCTTTGCTCCATTCCGAAAGTTTGCTCTTGCACTAATGAAATAGATCGTCTCATCCGATGTACTGCGATTATTATGGTACCCAGAAAGGAGGTTCGCTTGTAGATCGAAAATAATCTTTCCTTTTCAAGGCAGTAAAACAGTATTCCACGAGCACGTACTTTCGGTGGATGCGTTTACCCTATTATCATCACAGTAACAATCTAAATTAATGATGGTCGGGGAAATACAAAGAAGCCTAATTTTGCAAAGTTAGACTTGGAGGATCCGCTGGTAGTTGGGTTGCTACAAGCAACCTCTATTGAGACCTCGGTTCACTTGAGGTGGACCTCGGTCATTCCGATCACAAAGACCGTAAGTAAAATGGAAACATTATAGTGTTGCTCACCCCAACACTGGCCTAACTTTGTTCCACTAAATTAACTTTGGACCGCGAAACGATGAACTTATTCGTCTTTACTTACTTCAGCAAACTGAGGATAGTAATAATAACGGTAGCCAATAAAAGCAGGTGATGGTAAAGAAGAACAATGTGCAAAACGCATGCCCGTCACATAGAAGTCATGGGGAAGTGAATGCTTGACTCATATCGATTTTATGACTACGCCGATTCCGACAGGATATGCAACCAACAGTGCGACTGATATTGTAGACCCCATCCAAAAAGACGATACTAAGCCGACCGTGTGTATGTTTACTTGTTTTTGCCCGTTGTTAAGTGGTCACTTCTGGGATTTCAGCAGCTTCAATATCGGTCAACGGTATACACAGATACATAACTGTGTCGGCGCAAGTGGTCTCAATTCAACACGCACTCCGGCGCCGCACCTGAAGACTGTTATCGAACACCCAACTAGTTTACTTTGGTGTCACTCCCTCGTCGCTTTTATCAGGCATAATTAACAATTTGAGTGTGCGACGGTAACAGGGTCAAGTGAAAAGGCAGGTCAAAATGGTCCGAATTGAAAACAGGAACGCCATTGATGCGATTCCTTCATTATGCTAAATAAGGTTTGCTAACCCGATTAAAAATACATCATCCAGCCACTTGAGTGTTATAACTCATCGCTTCTGCTCTTTTCGAACGATGAATTAGTTTCCGGTAATGTGAGAGTATGATATAGGATCGTCGAGCTCAGATACATTGTACGACATTCCGTGGCTAATTTCATTCATTCATATCTTTTTTTATCGCGTAATCTTTGTAGTCTCATCGGCCGTTGAAAATTTATTTCTGATAATGGATTACATTTTCCTCCTGACATCTACGCGATCTCTTAACTTCCGTTGTCACGCATCGGACTGACGCTTAATTGATTGGCTTCTCATTGCTTTACTTAGTCGAGCGTTTCCTTTGTTCCGGTTGGCTTCGATGGCTGTGACTCTTTTTGCTATATTAACTTACTGCTGTGCTTAATAAACAGCGTGATTTTGTTACTACCAGATTGCATGGAGACCGTTTTCTGGGTCGTCACTCTGTAGACACTTGCCGTCTTTTCACATACAATGTTAACCGTATCGATCACTTGAGTTCCCGAATATTCCATCGATTTACCTTAACCAATTGTTTACTGATGATGACATTCAGCCTCCTGTTTCGTCTTTTTAATCATCCACTGCTTGCGATTAGGTATGGTAACAATTCCTTTTGTTCATTTCAGTTCACCCTCACTGTAAACACTGGTGGCTGCCGCAATTGCGCCGCTGCTATATTCCACATATTAAATCGATTCGCTGGTGAGTCCTACATTTGTTGCTCCATGTGTTTTGTCTATCATTCTTTCCTTTCGGCGCTATCGTCCCTTTTTGGTTTTTCTTTTATCTGACTCTGTGATTCGGTACTTCGTGCTCCACGGTCAGTTGTCGCCGAGATTGTTTTATTCGCGCCTTCATGACTCTTGATACACTTGATACACGATTTATACACAAAGAACTTCCTCAGGTTGAGGCTGATGTTGCATACTTGATGCTTCTTCACCGCAGTTGGGCTAAACCAACTTACACTTAAACTACATCTTTTTAAGCTGGATAAATTTCATTCCACTTTATTTGGTTTGTTCTGCCTACCTGAATAATCTATTAACTGGCCACGTTGCTTACGCAAATTGCGCTTATCTTCGGTAACTTTGTTGCGTTTGTAGCACTTTTAAGTAACCTGTGGACATTTCTTACTTATCGCGGATTCGTTGCTAACCAACTTACTTCATATGGTAATTTAGCGAAGAGTTATGCCACCGTATCTGTATGCATTATTGGATTTGTTTCATTTCATATTCTCGTTTCAAGTGAATGGCTGTTGCTTGATATCGCCGGTGTGGCTGCGCTTGATGTGCATGTTGACAAGGTGTCTACCTGTCTGCTACCCGCTACCTCGTCCATACTGGCTCCAGGAGACAGTTGGTCGTTGCTAGAGGGGACGGGGTGCACGGTCTTTGTGGCCGTGCTAGGCTTGAAGATTGGTTCCATGCACTATGTCTGGAGCGGACTACGGTCCAGCCACCGCCTTGTGTGCGCTTGATTTCCCAAATACAGCGTGCTTGTGTTTGCCTGTGAAGGAGTGTGGGTCGGCTCTGTTGATGAAACGTGGCTCCCATCCACATGCCTCCCGGTCTTATTCCTTCGGGTTTACACTGGATATGGGGTGTGTGGATGGATCTGTGGGTGGTGCAGCGCAAGCCACCCATGGTCCCTCTGTAGGCGCAGGCGTCCTGTGGCTTGCCACAGTGACAGGCAAATCGGAAACCGGATGCCGCCAACCACACACACACAGACATATATATATATATATATATATATATATATATATATATATATATATATATATATGGCGGGAGAGCCTATGGTGCGTTGAGGCTGGTGGTGGCTAGATCCTGACAGACGGTCTACCCACTGCTGCTACTGTTGCGCCATAGTCTCATGTCCTGGGCGCCTCCTCGTGGCTACCGCTGGGTGGGAGTTGGGTTTCGCCCTTCTCCCTGCTAAGATCCAAGACAATAATCCGCATGAGTCAGCTAACTGACTATGTGCTAGTCGCGCTGCCTTTCGAATGTTCATTTAATCGAAGGCTTTGGCTGAGGACCCGAGTCGTTCTCCTGTCAGGTGTGGCGCCCTGGCAGTATCCTAGTCCATCCTCTTCGGAGGTTAGGAAGTGGTCGATGGCCCTCTTCCCGTAAAACCTAGCCATGGGAGACAACAGGTTTACGCGTTATAAGCTCACAACTCGATTGGCGTAGAGCACGAGTGCCACGCATTGTCTCTGACGGTGGGAGAACACCTCCGGGTTTTCAATGGTTTGCTACTGCCCGCCTCAAGCCAGGCAGTCCCTGGTCAAATTGGTGCAAACCCGCCAAAACCCACCTGCGTGTGGCCGTGGTCGCAGGTGCGTATCCCACTACGGTCACCAAACACAATAATTGTTCCAGTACCTCAAAGGCTGCGTGTGACGGCCGTCAAGCAGATCCCAATCTGTCTCTGCAATCACATTCCCGAGCTGGATCTGCTCCCCACTGCCTTGTGGGTCAGGCTATTGAGCCAAAGGCTCCGGGCGGAGTCTCTCAAGCAAAACTCCAAACCACCCACTGCCTTGTGGGTCAGGCTATTGAGTCAAAGGCTCCGGGTGGAGTCCCTCAAGCAAACCTCCAAATCACCCACTGCCTTGTGGGTCAGGCTATTGATCCAAAGGCTTCGGGTGGAGTCCCTCAAGCAAACCTCCGAAGCACAACGACCACCTCGCGTGCGATTGCCCACCAATGCAATCGTATGCCTGCGCGCAAAGCACTCAGCATCGGGTGCTGGAACGTGCGCACACTACTGGACCGGAACTCGAGCGAGCGCCCGGAGCGACGCACTGCACTGGTCGCGATGGAGCTGGCGCGCTACCACATCGATATTGCGGCGCTCAGTGAACTCGGCTCGCTGAGCAAGGTAAGTTGCATGAAGCAGGTGCTGGCTACACATTCTACTGGGTGGGCAACGCCGCCTCAGCACCACGTGAACATGGGGTCGGATTTGCAATATCCGATCGCCTCCATGGCCAGCTGGTGGGTGAACCAACGGGCATCAGCGCGCGACTGATGACTGTTCGCCTACGACTCGGAAGAGGTAAGTTTGCTACTTTTATAAGCACGTACGGTCCGACCATGTGTTATCCTGATGACACGCGTGATCAGTTCTACACTGAGCTATCCTCCGTGATACGGTCTGTGCCGAGGAGCGACCGACTATTTCTGCTGGGTGATTTCAACGCGCGCGTTGGGCGTGATGCATCAGCGTGGACAGATGTTATCGGTTCGCATGGCATTGGTTCAGCGAATGCGAACGGTGACAGGCTGCTCTCACTGTGTGCCACTCACGGCCTGACGATCACGAACACTCGGTTTGCACTGAGTGCGAGTGATATAGCAACTTGGACGCACGCACGGAGTGGTCACGCTCACTTGCTCGACTATGTCATCGTACGTCAGCGTGATATGCGTGAAGTGCGCATGACACGTGTACTGCGTGGAGCTGAGTGTGGCACTGATCACAAATTGGTTCGGACCAAACTGTACATATATTTCGTAAATCTATGTATTGCACTCCCGCCGTGAAGCGGAGGCGTAAATTTAACATTCTCTCCTTCGGTACTGTGGCGAAACGTACTGAGCTGGAGAAGGCGATGGCTGCACGCCTGTGTGGTGATGTGGACTGCATAGCCACAGTGGGCGACCTGTGGCACTACATTCGCGACTAGATGGCAGCTGCTGCCGAGGAGAACATCGGGCGCGCAAACTGTAAGCGGCCTGATTGGTTTGATGACAACAATTCAACGATTTGCGCATTGGTGTCGGAGAAGAATGCATCATTTGCTGCACATGTTGCCGACCCCAGTGACTTGGGGAAGAGGAGTCAGTTTCGCAAACTTCGACGGCGACTGACCCTAGAACTCCGTCGCATTAAAAATGCATGGTGGACGGAGAAGGCGAAGCAGATGGAATGCTACTCCGAACGCTGTCAACACAAGGCATTCTTTGACTCCTTGAAGGCGGTGTATGGACCGAGATTCGAGCCGCTGAGGACACTGATCGAAGGTAGTTCAGGCGCTACCTGCACCCAGACTGCAGACATAATGCAGATCTGGCGGAAACACTTTGACTGTCTCTTGAACAACCGTTCAGAGATCGACTGGCCTACATTGAACAGCCTGAAACAGCACGATGTGAAGGCGAGTCTGGCGGACACGCCGACGCTGGATGAGACACAGAGAGCACTTGCTCAGCTGCGAAACGGCAAGTGTGCCGGAGCCGACGAAATGTCGCCTGAAGTATTGAAACACGGCGGACCCGCGTTGTTGACTGCGCTGCACCACTTGGTGCAACGCGTGTGGATTGAGGAGGAGTTGCCTCCTGAGCTGAAGGATGCCCTTGTGCTACCACTGTACAAGGGTAAAGGTAGCAAGCGATGTTGCACGTATTATCGTGGCATGAAATTGCTGAGTTGTGTGGACTAGGTGATTGCCCGAATCCTGCTCAACCGCCTCGTCAGTCAGGTTGTGGAATCTAACGTGGCGGAGGAGCAGTGTGGATTCCGTTCGGGTCGCAGCACTCTAGATATGGTGTTTGCTGCTCGTCAGTTGCAAGAGAAGTGCAGAGAACGACACCAGCCATTGTACTCGCTTTTTGTTGATTTCACCAAGGTATTTGATACGGTGAACCGCGAGGCATTGTGGCTGGTGTTTGGTTTCCCGCGTAAGTTTGTAAGTTTAATTGAATGTCTGCAGAGTGGTATGCGAGCGAGGGTGCAGCTGAGTGGAGAGACCTCGGTTGATTTTGTAGTTATCTCTGGTGTCTTGTATCTCTGTGTCTTAGCTCCTGCCCTGTTTAATATATATCTTCATGCAATGTTGTCTTGTGCTTTTGATGCGGCTTGTGCTTACGGTGTTCGTGTGGAGCACCGTATTGATGGTGGGTTGCTGAACATCCGTCGTTTCGGTGCGAGAACTCTAGTCTGTGAGACAACTATCCGTATGTTGCTGTTTGCTGACGACTGTGCGTTGTTTTCACACAGCGCGGATGAGTTGCAGCACATGACTAGTGCTCTGGTTTCGACAGAGGCCAAATTCGGGCTCACCATCAACACATTCAAAACTGTCTGTCTCTTTCAGCCTTCACCGGAGGTGCAATCTTCAATATTGCCGCGAATCAGCATTGGTGCTGAAGTATTGGAAACCACCTCCCGTTTCAGTTACCTTGGGAGTGTGATGTCAACTGACCAGCAGCTACACGTTTAGCTGCGTATCCGCGTGTCGAAGGCAGCGGCAGCATTCGGGAAGCTTGAGTACCGAGTGTGGCACAACCATCAGCTTACCATTGGCACGAAGCGGATGGTGTACAAATCCATGGTACTGTCCGTTCTTCTGTACGGCAGTGAAACGTGGACGATGTACAGGCGGGATATGCGATATCTCGAGCGGTTCCATCAGCAGTGTCTGCGACGAATTTTGCGGATCGGCTGGGGCGACAGAGTTGCAGACACGGAAGTTTTGCGCCGAAGTGGGATGTATGCAGTGGACTGCATACTTTTATTGAGACATCTGAGATGGCTCGGTCATGTGGATACCGAAACAACTCTTATACGGTCAGCTGAGTATTGGGAATCATCGCGTGGGGAAACCAAAGTTATGTTACCAGGACATGATTAAAGTGAGCCTCTCACGTTCTAATCTTGATTGCAGATCATGGGAATCGAAGGCGGTTGAT